AGTTACAGCACCCAGTATTCCCACGTTGTCCCCAACCGTAGTACTGACTGGGCCATCAGTGGCTTAACTTCGGAGATCGGACGGGTTCCGGTGCTTTTCACTGTGTATGGCCGTAACTAACAGAAGACATTTTTTTAATTTATTAATATTTTATCTTAATAATTAATTTTATACACGCGTGTCAATAATGCATGTATTCGGGGATTTCGGGAAATGATAATAAATAATAATCATTGTATTAATTAGGGTTATCCCGAAAAGGGGATTTATTATTATTTTGGCACCTCCAAAATTATGTATGAACTATGAACCTTAGGATACGTGAGTACGTGGGCGGGTTTCCCGACTTCATCCTATCGAATGTGTAACAAAAAAATTTCGATTACATGCCTCATGCTCAAGAAGTCATTCAAGAATTATAAAAAAAGGCATGAATAAATGGAATAAATGGAATGTTTTAAAAGTTGATCTAAACTACCATATTTAATGCAGCCCCCAAGTTCCCATACCCATAATATAAATTACATTATATATGCGACATTATATATTACAATTTATCCGATTATATATAATTTTGCAATAAAATTCATGTAATATAAAGTTACCACTAAATTTGGAAGATACTCGGGTACTATTGCCTGCCCACTAAACCATCAGCTCTCTATAAAATGTACCCCCCTTAAATGCACCCTCTATAAATGCACCCTCCATAAAATGTACCCTCCATAAATGTGGCCATTATGTATACCCTTCATAAATGCTCCCTCTTGTTCAATCTCCCCAAGAGGGTGTACGTATAATAAATATGATGAGCTTCTATCATTCAAATCCCATTAACGGATAAACCATGGTTATGGATATATTATATAAATGTATTATAAACCAATTAGAGTGAGAAAAAAATTTCATATACAATAACAATAACTTCTTTTTATAGTTAAAAGTATATTCTTTTTCGTCCAAAAAATGAAATCCATTATAGTAATAATTAACAAATATTTAAGGGTAAAGCAAGTGATTATCATTTAACATGTGAACATGCAGGGAAATCAGGGAAAGCAAGGAAAGCAGGGAAAAAAAAGAACTGATTGAAAAATTTCTTGGCCTCACATGTCATATTTTTTTTTATGCAATACAAAAATTCCCGAGATCGGGGACTTTTTTTTTTTATTATTCTTTTTTTTTTTTT